ATGGCCACTACCGCCCAAGACGTGATAATATGCTCTCTGTGTCGTAAAGGGGTGAGACGGTACTGTACCGTGTGTAAAAGGGCCTTGTGCGAAAGCTGTGAGAAAGAACACATAAAAGAAAATGGAGGACACTTTGTTACAGATTTTTCCAATAGGAACGACGGTAAATCAAATACTAATCCGAACATGCTTATGAGCTGAAGAATGAACCAATGAAGGTGGTGTTTTTTTTTTTTTGGGGGGGGGGGATATGCATATTCTTTGTTTTACTGAGCTAAAGTTTAAAGGGAGCTTATCACTTTTGTGATTGCATATGTATAATGTATATAAGTGAGGAACAGTTCTGATTAGAACACATGCTCAAAAATAGGGAATGCATGGAACAGTATGCATTGTCGGACTTAATTATTTGGGGTAAATGATGCAATATACAAATCTGAGAAGTATATAAATTGAGAAATTTTAGACTTTCTATATGATATTTATATTTCTTTCTTTTTGTCATCAGCTTTATAAATCTAGACATTTTTTATCAATTTATCAATTTATAGGACTTTATATAAATATAAATTTATATACTTTAATAAAAATCCAAAATAATGCATAAATGACAGAAAATAATCAGTAGAAAACTTCATTTTAGATTCAAATTTGTTTAAGCCTTAGTCATCCTGAGAGACACTTGGCTTCAGAAGAGGACGCAGAGAAAACAAGAGGCCCATGGGCCACATCGCTCACCTTAGCATTGTGGCTAGGAAAAAGCAGAAATCAGTTCAGTATAGAAAAGTTTAAATATATAAGGGATCCCAACGTCCCCCTAAAGGAGGGGGGGGGGGCGTGTATGATTTGAACAAACTTGAATCTACACTGAGAATGCTTTTAAAATATTTCTTTGACTAATTGTGGCTTTTTTCCTATTAGTTTGAACTTTCATTGTGGTCCCACCCTTCCCCCGGGGGTTGCGGGGGTCTTGATTTGAATGAATCTGAATCTACACTATCTGAGGATGCTTGCATATAAATATGAACAATCTTGGCTTTGCTGTTCTTGAGAAGAAGATTTTTAAAGATGTTCATATATATTCCTATGTAAAACTTTGATCGCCCATTGTGGCCAGACCCTACCCCCGGGGGTCATAATTGAACAAACTTGAATCTACACTACTTGAGGATGTTTCCATACAAATATGACCCATCATGGCATTGTTGTTCTTGAGAAGAAAATTTTTAATTTTTTCCCCTATAGATCCCTATATATGTTAAACTTTGATCGTCCATCATGGCCCCACCCTACCCTCGGGGGTCAAGATTTGAACAAATCTGAATCTACACTACTAGAGGATGCTTCCATAGAAATATGACCAATCATGGCTCTGTTGTTCTTGAGAAGAAGGTTTTTAAAGATTTTTCCTAAATATTCATATGTAAAACTTTAATCGTCATTGAATTTACTCTTAAGGATATTTTCACATATGTTTCAGCTTTCCTGGCATAGTGGTTTTTGAGAAGCAGTTTTTAATGTCATTTTTTATTTTTACTAATTTGTGATTATCTCCCCTTGGAAAAAGGCGTGGCCCTTCATTTGAACAAATTTGAGTACCCTTTACCCAAGAATACTTTGTGGTAAGTTTGGTTGAAATTGGCCCAGTGGTTCTTAATAAGAGGTCGAAAATATGAAAAGTGTACGGACAGACGGACGCCGGACAAAATGTGATCAGAAAAGCTCACTTGAGCCTTCTGCTCAGGTGAGCTAGAAATTACAAGTAGCCTTTCTAAAGCTAGTTTGTTATGAATAAAATAATATGCAAGCTAAGATATAGTGTCGATATAACTTTATTTATTATACCTCTATTGATTTTTTTCCCTATACAACATTAGATCTTTAGATGTGTCTAATTCCCTAGAAATCGTAATGAGTGGACTAATCCCTGTGCGTTATTCAAGTGAGCTAACCCCTGCTTCGAAGCTAATTCCCGGTCATCCGAAATCCTCTTGATTTTACTTTTACATCGGTATGATATGTGAATGAACTAATCCCCGTGTGTTAGTTCAGTGAGCTAATCCCTGCTTTGAAATCACGCTATCTGAATCCTCTAAACTTTACGTTTGTATCGGTATAATAAAACAGTTAAAAGTATATCATTGCAGGGGTTAGCAAGATTCCAGTTCCCCTCGGCCAGAACTATTTCCCTCGGCTTCGCCTCGGGAAATAGTCCTGGCCTTGGGGAACTGGAATCTTGCTAACTCCCTCAATGATATACTTTAACTGTTTAAGAAACCGAGGAACTCAGTTGTGCAGTACATATGATTTAAATTTACTGGTCCAGGTTTCTATGACTTTTGACCATCTCTATTGCTAAATCAATAAATCTATAGTTATCGTAGAGGCAAACATATAATTAACCCCCCCCCCCCTCTCTCTCTAAAGATAAGAATTTTAACTGACGTATGAGTTAAAATTTTGAGATATGATGAATGAAAATTATGTAGTAAAATAATAACAGATTAAGAAGTTGAAGGGTGTATCGGTTGAGCTTAAAGATCGTAGACACCATGTTATACTGAGAAGTGTTTTAATTAAAACAAGTTTCTTTACCGATCTCTTTACTCTTCTATAGTTGCTGAGAAAACGGAAGGAGAATGTTGGGTTCCACCCATCTTGTATATAGGTAGTGTACACGTTCAGTTTTTTTCCTTTGAAAAAGTTTAAGTCTACTGCATCAAAATTTTTTGGGGTTCAATTTCTCCTTCTCTTCGTTAGGCAACCCAAAAGTTAACGATGGCACCATTACTGGCATGCACGTTCCACTTAACACCAAGGACTGTACACAAAAAGAAGAAAATGAACAAATTCCATTGAATGCAACTAAGATGGACAGTTTGATTTTGCACGAAAAGAGATTACAATCAGGCAAAATGCCAATTGGCAACGAAGAAAATTCTAATGGCGATTCTAAAAATTTTGCTATGAAAACAATCAAGGGCAAATGTTATGAGGAAACCCCAAAAGAAGAAGTCAAAGAATATGCACACATAAGCAAACTTTCTGATAAAGAAGATATTAATATTCGAAAGGTTGGTTTTTCTAATATAACTATGTTCATTTGAGCAAGAATATTTCATAGGAGTCTCCCATTGGTATCTATGTAATCCATTACACTTAAGCCAAAGGCTTCATTGAAACCTTTTTTTACTACTGCAATATCTGCATTGTAAGGTTGTGGCCAACAAAGAATTATTTCTGTTCCCTTTCGAACTTGCCCAGATGACCTTTACTCGAGGTCCTGAAACCTTCAGGCCAAGTGCTAAGTAAAAGCTAGTTTCTAATAGTTTCCATCAAAAACTTATTACACGGTCACAAATTGACACATTTCATTCGCCTTCATAATCTTCAATTTTCTCGTTTGAATGTCATTTTATTTCGAAGTCATTCAGTTACACAATTTACAATTTATTTTGAGTGAATGACCTGCAGTCTACACGTTCATGTTACACGTCATTAAAATCTTAACAGAAAAATTACAAAAAACGTGTACGTGTACATCAAAGTTTGTGCACACGTACACGTACAAGTTTAATATCTCAACCTCTCTAACCTATCACAAGACTGTTAGCACAAGTTCAAGGTACTGGGGAAGGAGAATTAAGTGTGGGTTGGGGTTCGAAGGAGATGACCATCATTTAGTGGTCTCCCTCATGGTAAATCTAGATAATTTTAAAAGCGACTGTTCATGGGTATTTTGTCTAAAAGTACTCGAGGGTTATTTAAATCACTAAAAGGAGAAATGAATGTTTTATCAATTTAAAATCAGGAGGATATAAGTACGGGGGAGGGGGGCTCATCCCTCGACCACTTTCTCTGAGAATAGTTTTTTGATGTATTTTAGCTATGAAAATTTTCATTTGGAAGCTGCTTGGTCCCCCCACTAATTGTTGCTATACTGTTAAACATTGGCAAATTCCACCATTAAAAACATATACTGAAAAGTTAGAGAAAGATCCAACCCCCACACCCAGCCTGAAATAGGAATTTCGAGTTTGGGCATTGTTAATGGGTTGTCAAAAATGTTACGAGTCTGAGATATAAAGGAGGCAATGTATAGGATTTTATATACTGTAAAATCACTTCATTTCGTGGGGTCGGCAAATTTTTGTGGTTTAAGGAAAGAATATGCCATTGGGTTCATTGGGATTTGATTTCGTGGATGAAGAATTGTTGAATAGTTATGTGCATGATATTTTACATTTCGTGGTGGACATGAATTCATGTGTTCATACATGTATCTCGAAAACAACAAAAATTAAACCACACGAAAATGAGTGATTTCACTGTATTTGTAATAAGATGAAAGAAATGAAAGATTAAGAGGTAGAAATTGTCTAACCTGCAGCAAAGGCAAAAGTATAAACTATTGGATTTTTACTATGTTACGTTCATTATAATTTTATCAATATATTTGCTTGTTAGTAAATATTTAAGACTTGTGAATGCTAATGTTTTATTCTACTTTTCTTGTTCACTAGAGCTGGACCTTTTACAGTGATGATGTGGGAAAGCTGTCATGTTTTGAAGACAGAATCCAATTACACAGAATAAATAATGCCATTAAGATAAAATGGGAGAACAATCCAATATCAAAACTTACAATCACTCTCTGTGATGAAAAGGACATACGAACTAGTAAAAAAATAACTAACCTTACTAAAAAACTAGAACATGTGCATTCTAGGCATATTACCGTGGAAAGGGCACATGTGGATGCAGCCAAACAATTTGTGAAGAATTATCAGAAATGTTCATTTGTCAAACTTTTTTCAAGTCCAGACTTAAGAGAAATCCGTATTTATTCCAGAGTGAAGGATTATGTTGATGCAGCAACGAAGGATTGGGATTACATTGTATTAAGGCAAAAAATGAGGGATAATTCAGAGTATACCCCAAATCACAATCGATACCCGCCCTTTTCAGCTAGGTATCATTTAGATAAAACAAGAGGGGAAATGCATTCTAAACTTCACTGTGTATGTACAACAAAAGAACAATTAAATATCTTTGTGTACTGTGAATCAATCCTGAATGCTAATGTAGATGTTATAGTGAATGCTGCAAGTGAAGATTTAGGTCATCGTTCAGGTGTGGCAGCAGTTATAGCAAAAGCTGCAGGTCAAACACTAACTGAGGAATCAAAAGCATGTATCGTAAAATATGGAAAGTTGAAGGTCACTCAAGTAGCCTTGACATCAGCGGGCAATCTTCATTTCAGATTTGTTCTGCATGTTATTGGGCCAAGATGGAAGAAGTACCCAAACAAAATTGACTGCCTTTCTGATCTCAAGCAGACAATCTTAAATACCCTTGAAATGGCGCAAAGAAAGGGAGCAACGTCTATTGCCTTCCCAGCCATTAGTGCAGGTATCGGTGATAATTTACATGTTTTAAAACAAGATGTGTTTGTGAAACACTGATGCCCCCCCCCCCCCGTATAGCAGCTTGTGGCGAAAGTCAAAGTTTCTCAAATGCAAGTCAAATTCCAAGGTCAAGGTTCAAAAGATAAAAAATGTTGTTCTCCAAAGAAAAGTCTTGTCTCAGGGAATATAACTACATGTATGAAATATGAAAGCCCTAGCACCAACCTTTGAAAAATCATGGTGAATGTTAAAGTTTTTTTGAATAATAAGTCAAATGACAAGGTCAAATTGTCAAAATTAATGGCGCCCAAAGGAAGGTCTTGTCACAAGAAATACTCATGTAAAATATGAAAGCCCTAGCACCAACCATTCAAAAGTTAAGGTTTTTCAAAATAGATCAAACTCCAAGGTCAAGGCCAAAGGGTAATATTATTGTTGGTACCCAAGGGAAGGTCTTGTTACAAGGAAAACAGATGTGATTTATGAAAGCCCTAACACTAACTGTTCAAACATTATGACCAAGTTAAAGTTTTTAAAAAGTTGGTCAAACTCCAAAGTCAAGGTCGAGGGTCTAAATTGTTGCTATCAAATGGAAGGTTTGTCACATCTGTGAAAATTGAAGGCCTTAGTTCTAACCTTTCAAAAGTTATTGTCAAGGTTACAGTTTTTTAAACGTGGGTTAAACTCCAAGGTCAAAGTCAAAAGGTAAAAAATATTTATACCCAAGGAAAGGTTTTATCACAAGAAATACAGATGTGAAGTATGAAAGCCCTAGCATCTCAGACAACTGTTCAAAAGTTATGGCCAAGGTTAAAGTTTAGTAAAATTTTGCAGAAATTGGTCTAACTCCAAGGTCAATGTCATGAGGTCAAATATGTTATACCCAAAGAAAGGTCTTGTCACAAGGAATACACCTGTGAAATATGAAAGCCATAGTTCCAATCAATCAAAAGTTATGGGCGATCGAGGTTAAAGTTTTTGTGGACAAACAGACAAACAAATAAACAGACAAACAGGTGGATGGACAGAACAAAAATTATATGCCCCCGAATATTCGATTACGAGGGCATTTAAAGTCCCATGGATACTGAGGTTTGTTCAAACTTGCACCCCATTAGGACACGTGGGTTTGATTTTGTGTTTGTGAGTATGGGTATGCCCCCACCCTGGAATGATTCTTGGGTCCGCCTATGTAAACAAATTACTTTTTTCTTACAATTGAAGAGTCATCAATTTGAGCTCTTAAACATGACTTACATGTTTAATTTTAATTCATATAATTATAAAGTAATTAATTATTTTCTTTATAGTCCATTCTTGCAGTGAAGTTGCTCCCCATGAAATCATGCAATTGTCTCGTATGAGAAGTTGAGTTTAGAATATATGCCGGTGCATTGTATATTGTTATTCATTTTTTTTTTGAAGATGGTTTTGAAGTGCCAAAGGAACTGACTGCAGAAATATGGGCTGTTTCTGTTCATGAATTTAGCAAAGATAATGGATTGAAGAGCTCGATACGGGATATACATTTTGTTGATATAGACCCAGACATTGTACAGAAAACAAGAGAAGCTCTTGAAAACATCGAAAAAAGTAAAAATTTGATTAACTTAGCCACAATAAAGAAAAAATACCCATATATTCAGTGGACTACTCTATCAAGTTCAGAAAGAACTCCAAGACTTAAAAATTTCAGTAAATTGGATGTTCCGAAACAAACATCAGCTGAATATGAAAACTTTGGTCTCATCCAGGTAAACAGACCAAACATCTCGACAGAAAGTGGAAGATCTAGTGCAAAGCTAGTCAGACTTCCAGACACAACAATAGCCCATATCCCTGTGAAAGGTTTTCAGTTCAGGAATGGATTAATTGTCAAGATTTACACTGGGAGTATTGTGAAGTTCCATGGAGATGCCATTGTTATAAGAACTGACCCTACTTTATCAGATTTTGGATTCTTGAGAAATGCAGTCAGAAAAGCCGGAGGTCAAGAATATGAAAAAGAATTTGAAAAGATGAGAAGACTGAAATATATTGCAAAATTAGGCGATGTCTTGCACTGCAAGGGAGGAACACTTGGAGCTAGATACGTACTGCATTTGGTTCTATATCCGTTATCTTCTACGAAAGATCGCAGATTTGAAGAGTACAAGTCTTATCTTATGAGAGCGCTTGATGAAATAAGTTCTCGGTCCTGGAAAAAAGTCGCCATTCCTCTTATTGGAGCAGGTTAGTGCTTTTATTGAAATAAATACCTGTAATCTTGTGAAATGTTGATTATGGCTCTATGTTCAAGGTATATGTCGATGACACTCTTTTATTACATTCAGGTTTTATCGAAAAGGATATGTTTGACCTTCAAAAATGTTGCCAGGCCTGGTTCTCAGTTTTTTCAGACTTTGCTTCCACAAGAGAACATACCTGCCATATTGGAGAGATACATCTTATTAACCATAACACGAGAATTACCTCTTCCCTGATTGAGGCTTTTGAAATTAACAGCTGTGTGGTTGTTAACAAATCTGCACATGTCTTGAATTTCAGGAGCGATTCTGAAATCATCAACAAAAGAAGTAGCAAAGAAGACAGAGGGAAATCCTTGAGAACACATTTCTTTGAAGATTTCAGCTCGCAAAGAGCAAGATCTTGGGATCGACTGGTGCAATCAGATGAATCGCCTTTGTCGTTCGGTTTCGAAGAACAGCGACGTCATAGTACTAAAGGAAACCAACCTGAAAACGGGACAATGAAATATAAAGTTGATAAGTATTCTTCGTTGCCAGGATACGAGAGCCATGGAACTATCATAATAAAGTACTACTTTCCAAATGGAATTCAAGGGGTGAGTATAAGAACAACATATGTATATGTGGCTTTACAGGAAAATTACGGTATCACAGATAAACATTTTATATATTACTGTTTAAATGTTACTGTATTGATTGAAAAACCACTACATAAGCGCCTAATCAAAAAATATAATTGACGAAATACAATATATATAGGCTCACGTTCAAAAAATATAATTGGCAAACCACTATATATAGGCGCACGTTCAAAAATATGATTGACAAACTACATGTATATATACTAAAACAAAACAATATAAACTCAAAAAATAAAAGAGCCATATTTGCTTTATCAGATACATGTATTAGCTTACAAATCATCTAAGCACACGCATGAAAATTTGTATACTTAATTATCTTTTCAAAAAATATATACATTCACCTTATGAAAGCCAGAACATCCCAACCCAGGACAGCCTTATGAAGGAACTGAGAGACCAGCCTTTCTACCAGCCAATACAGAAGGACAGAAAGTCCTAAGACTCTTACAAAAGGCGTTCGATCGACGGCTCACCTTCACAATTGGGTCTTCCATAACCACAGGAAGAGACAACGTCATCATCTGGAACGGCATTCAGCACAAAACCCACCGAAACACGGGAGCTCAAGCGTTAGTCTTTTTTGTGGTTTCTTGTTATTGCTTCAAGGACGATATGATTGTATTTACCGGTAGTCATTTATTATAGAAATCAGTCTTTTTTAAATTGTAAACATGATAAAGGTGAACAGGTTTTTCTTGAGAATTGGAGGAGGGTGTCAAAAAAAATATATCTCTTCGACAAATCGATATCGAAAATTTGGAATCAATCGTACCAGTTTGAAAAATGCTGGGATATATATCTAGAAATTGAACTACATGTACATGTATATTCTTGCAGAATCTATATCTCTTTCAGTTCCCTTTCCCAAAATTTAAGCTTATATCAAAATGTCTTAATATTGGACAAAAATCGTTATATACAGAACTTATACAACTGATTAATGCCTTGGGGAAAAAACCAAAGAATTTTAATGACATTGCAACACAGTTCCAATATAGTTTTCCTGGTATGACATTATTATTTATTTAAAAATGACAAGTTCGCTGAAAATAATCTAGAGTGATATGCAGTTTCATACTTATTTAATATTCATGATATTATGCTCTTTTTGATAGGTTTGGATATCCAGACTCCAGCTATTTAAAGAGAGTACAACAAGATTTGGCAGAGAAAGGCGTGACTGAGTAAAAGGGCGGACTGTGATAGGAAAACGAGGAAAAACTTTCTATTCTGTAATATGTTGATGTTTTAGACGGTGTATTGCAAATTCCTTAACAACTTTTCTTTACTATGTAACCACTGAATGATGTATGTAAGTGTATTTACTAATAAGTACCATTCTTGTTTTCAAGAAGTGCCTATTGAATTAAACATGAGATAAATTGATTCACCAATATTTTTTGTGGTATTTAAAAGATGTTTATGGTCCCCCCTTTCGCGAAAGTTCGGGTCATTAAATCTCTCACAGAAAACTTAAATATTGCATGGTCAGACTTTTGAATGAAAAGAGTGAGCTTTTATATTTCACATGTGCATTACCTGTGATATCACCTTTCCAAATACATAGTATACTATGACCTCTTGACCCTGACCAGGATGACCTAGACGTTTGACGTGATTAAAAAAAAATAATAACTTTGACCACAACTTTTACACCGTAAAATACAATGCTTTCATATTTGTCACAAGTTCAGTAGGTCTCCGAATGTACTATGATTTTTGACATCATAGCAGTAAAGTTTGACTTTTCAAAAATTTTCACCTTGACCGTAGCTTTTGTACACTCATGAGCTTGAATTCGAAGTTAGATTTTAAAAAGTTTAATCTTGGTCGTAATATTACATAAGAATTATAACTTTCACTCGGATGGTGCACAGACAAGACAGATACAATATGCCTAAATCATTGCACTCTCAACCAATTATATCCCGAAAGCGGGAGACCACAGTTCTCTGAATTTTCTTGTTTTAAATTTAATTGTTTATAAGCCAGAAAACCGTGGAATGCGCAATTGAAGCAATTAAATGTACTCAGTTGTAATTAACCTTTACCGTCTCGCTGCCAGACCTCGTTATTAAATCATGGGATAAAAAATTGTGCTACATAAATGTAACACAGTGCTCACCCTGCATACAGCTATCTTTTGGATAGATATCCTATAGAATGGGAGATTTCCATACAATGAATAAATTCAACAAAACAAAATTAGATCAGCAGTTATAGATATGATGGAAAAGTTTACAACTGACACATAATGCACACAACAGGATGGAGGGAGCAAATGATTATCCTAGGAGATGTGTTATTGTGTAATGAGTTTCCTCCTAATTAAAGAGGGATGTAATATTGCATCAAAATCCTCGATTCTACAGTCAAGAATAGACGTCACACTTCTTACCTCCCTTGATGACAATCATATTAACAAATTAATGAGTCGTCCGTGTGGCGCAATGGTTATAGCGTTTGCTCGGGAGTTGCGGAGTAAGTAGTTGATCCTTACGTAGCGGGTTCGAATCCACTGTGTAATGTGCAAGTGGAGACCGGTCCTATAAACCGAAACCGATGTCCCGTGTCGCAGTAGGTGCTGGCACAAAAAAAAGATCTCTCACTGCTCAATACAGGTCTAAATTTGCAGCCCTCCACCGACAAGTGGTGGCGTCTCAATATGATTGAAAAATTCTCGAAGGGACGTTGTTGAACAAGCAAGCAAACAAATTGATGAATTCAATCACTGCAACACTGTTTTCAACATAAAATTCTACTAAGAATTTTCAAATAACATTTTAATCAGAAATGGACAATGAAACACAGTTGTTTTGTTTGTTTTTTTTTTTTTCTCAACAATATTCACATCTTTAGTATAAAATGCTATACGAAACAAAAACAATAAAAACTTGTATAAATCTACCATTCAGACACAGGCAAAAGAGAGGTTAACTAAACTACAAAAGTATCAAAAAAATATGTATCAGGTTGTATACTAGATCTAAATATGCCCATACAGGTATGTAGAAGTGTCAATACCTTTGCTTGTAACATCTGGTTATTTTACTTCATTAAAAAATTTAACAAGTCATTACTTAAGCAAATTTAATAAGCTCTTCCATCTAGTATTGCAAGGACTGAGGAATTTTTTTTCACCTCATTATCAGTTTTGACACATAAATTTGGTTACACTTAATTTTTCAAAAGAGAAAATTTACTTAATGCCATAAAATTGCCAATATTCAAAACGCAGTCAACACACGAAAAAAAGACCAAAGACTCTTTCTTACAAAACTGAAAGCAACACAATCACATAAACTTAAAATAGAACACAATACTCAGAGAGGATTTCTAGACGGAATGAAGTTTACATGACCTATAAAAATAAATACATGGAAATGTCGAATGCATGAAAATGACATCGTTGTATTGATGGTGAAGTGTGTGATGTAAAAGCAGAATACAATAGAAATGACAAAATGGAATGATAGCATAAAATGCGACTAAATACATGTACATTAAGCAGATTCTACATGGAATTAAACTTGCTCATTTTACAATAATTTCTCAATAGATACTGGTGAAACAATTTCTATACAGTCGTTACTTTAAGTATATATCATACAGAACCTTAAGCTTTTTTTATGAATGGTGAGTGATTTATAATTGACCAGTGACCACACAATACTTACTGCATCCTGCTACACTGTATACATCAGATGATACAGCTTCTATATTCCTGATGTCAAATGACTTACTTTAACAGCAAATCTACATAGAATTCAATTACATCTATAAATATTCTTTCTTTAAGTAGATTTCAAACTGTCTTCGTATTGATTGTCAAGTATGCAATTTTCATTTCCACAGTACATGTACTATTATAACATCGTTTACTTAAACAAAACGTAAGTTTCAAGTGAGTCACTTTCAAATGCTGGAACAATTAAAACATATCATTGAGACAGAAGTTCCCCATGAAACAAAAATGAATGACCTACTGAGTTAGTTTGAGAATTTTACATTTAATTAACATGTTTCTACTAGTTGTATCTACACAATCACTATAGGTTAGTTATATTAAGAAACCATAGGAAGAGAGTAATATTTCGAAATCACAGGAAGTGAGTTAAATTTAGAAATCTCAGGAAGCGATTTTAAATTTAGAAATCACAGGAAGTGAGTTAAACTGAGAAACCAACTGGCAGGAAGTCTCGTTAAGTTACAAGTATTGTACATGTATTTAGGAAACTAACAAATCTGTGCACATAAAGTGATTGTATTATCAAAACAAACACCTGGCAAGAGTCTCTTAAAGTTACAAGTACTATATTCCGTGCACACAAAGTAACTGTACTGTCAAAACAGACATCTACAATTAATTCAATTATCTAATGAAAATGTCTTTTTAAAAAATCAAATTTGACGCATGAAACAGAAAGAGGAAAGTTAAAGAAAACATTACCTTGAATCTTTCCCTAGCACTAATGAACAGTACTATAAATACATATTCTTTCAAAGTTCCTACAATTGAATATTTTGTTTAGAAATTTACAACATCAGAACACAATCAACCAGGGGTTAAGGAAAAAAATTTCCTACACAACTGTTACTTAATCGTACAAAGTAAAACATGTCAAACATCAATTCTGAAAATGTTAGTATTGTATTTCTACACTACTCCTTTCTCAACAGATAAAACAAGAAGTCATGATGTTCTACTCCAATCCTACCACGGAAATAGAAAATATTCATTGCAAACATTAAGCAGATTGTCAACAACAGAGATCATTTAACACATCATTTATAAAAATAATAATACAAAGTTCATCCTATATTCTCCTAATATACAATTAGCATTAAACAGAACTGTCTTACTGAATTGGTAATACAGTGTAGTATACTGTTTATAAAGCTGCATGATGTTTCCAGTCAGAAAATAAAATATATAAGCCATACAAAACATAAAAAAACACTTTCACTTGAATTTCTTTTACATGCTGCAAGTGTTCATTGATGAAATAGCTCTCTCAATCCCAAAACCACTCAGGCATTCCTTCATTTATAACTAAACAATTACAATGCAGAGCATGTGTTGTATCATAGATGTATCATGCAATAACAGAATGTCCAATACGATACACATATCATGTAGGCATGTCTGATATGATACACATATCATGTAGACATATCATGAAGAGATCGTCTGGTACATGTATATTAGTTTTAATGCAATGCCTATCTGTCGAGTAAGAAGGACATTATGAAGTGAATGTCCTCCGTGAACAAGAGACATCTCTCCAGCATAACAGCCATACTATGTCTGCACGTCTAATCCCCATCTCAAACACTGAATAGAAATACTAAGCAAAACCTAAATGTCCCTAACACAAACACAACAACAGGTTCAGGTACACTTGTGTAGGCTCAGTCAGGTCACTGGTGAGGGTCAACAGGTGCCCCCTGAGTTCCTCCACCTGGGCTGGCAGCTGTTTCAGGTCCTTTTCATCCTCTCTAGGGAGACTGTTCAGTTCTGCTTTACTCATAACTGCTTTTCTTCTTGCTGTATTGTGGCCTTTTCCTGCAAGAAAACAACATTAACCTGAACCATTATCAAATTTATTTGGATCCATTGTATATCAATCATTTTTTACATATCATCACATGTACATATACAGAACTATTATGGAGATTCTTTTTTCAGCTTATATTTAATCATCAGCAATTTCTTTCCTTGGTGTTATCCAGTTAACAATGATATTTTGGTCATAAACATGATAAACTTGAGTATATATTTTTCTGGTTAAATGAAGTAAAATTTAGAACTACATCAACAAAGGGACAGTCAACTTTGTTCAGACACTTTGAAAAATGTTGATTTACATTTATAAATCATTAATAAATATTACAATACTCACTTTTCTTACACTGTAGATAACTCTGAGTCACAAAGTATAGTATCATGGCTAGCTCCTCCACCTGAATGGGGGAGAAGTATGCCACCTGGGGGGCGGCAGATTCATTCTCTTCATCAGACTGGGGTGTAGTGGGCGGAGTCAAAGGCGAGTATCGAGGAGGGAGGGCACAGTAATAGCACTCATAAATGCTCCTCAAATCCTGAGGCACATCACTACCAGGCTCAAATGTTTCCTCGCAGTGACTCAACAGTACCAGTGAGATCAGACGAAATCTCAAGATATTTGAGCATATTGTCTCGATGAGTAAGCGTTTATGTTTTATACTAGTGAGATATATGTATGTCCTAAGCAGCTCTGAGCTTACTAGTTTGGCACATTCTAAGGGTGATGATGAAACAGAAATTCCTAGTGATAACAGTTTCTGCATTAAAGGGAGTATTTTTGGAACTTCCTGCCTTTTCAGGTTTAGGTCTTTAAGATCCTGGTCTGGCACCAATTGTCTTAAGTACACAGCATCTTGAACCTCTGGGTACTCCCCACTCGTTATAGAACACCTGATCCAATTGACTAGTTCCTTTAAATTTAAGTATCCACAATCATAAGAAAGTGTTTTGTACACTTTAGTCTGTCTTAGTTTCCTTGGGTCCCTTAAATCAATGCTATGAAGCTCCTCTTCAAATGTCATAATCAAGACCTTCAAGAAAAGACCCACCATATGAAGAATTAATGGGACTTGGTTTGATAAACCTCCACCGATGGACAGTTCTTTCATAAATGCTTTCAATACATCCCACTCTATTTTTGAGAACACATCTGGATTTTTCTCATGAATAAGTAATAAAATTTTATATGACTTCAACATAATCTGGGTGTCCCGACTCTCTAGCAATCCTTTGATCACTATGTCCAAAAATATGTTTATTGGAATTGTGTGCCTATCCAAATAATCATGGATAAATTGCAGTCCTTGGTCTAAGAAAGCAGTACCCTCTTCAAAGCAACTGTTGATTGTGTTTACATGAAGGTTACTGAGTGCATTTGACAGTGTCTCATTCACATCATCACTCAGTATGGAGATTCTCAGTGGCTTTAAAACTTCAAGCACACAAGGTCCACTAGTGCTGGCTTTTTCTTGGGATGGTTTCTCACTAATTTCTTGAGTCTGTCGTCTAACACGAACATTCCGCCTATTCCGTAGTTTTCCAACTTTAACATTTTGTTTAATTCTGTCTTCCAGATTGCTCTTGGAATCTCTCATTCCATCAGTCTCAGGTTCAGTATTATCTAGAATATCAAGGAAGTGTCTCTCATTCTGATTGGCTGCTGAGCTTAAAGAATTCCGACTGTGTGTCCTAGGGGGTGGCGAGTCAGGGTTGCTGCTATTTAGTGACTTGCTAGAACTAACTCGCTTCAAAATATCTGCAAGCTTTTTCTTTGTGTTCTTGTTGAAGAAATTTTCCACTCCTGGTGAAGATGGGGCAGATGGTGAACCTGAGCTGGAGACGGTTTCCTGCTGATTCTCTATTTTCTTAAATGGAGAGTCTTTGTGATGAGCAAATTTTGCTGGCGTTTCCTGAACACTCTCGTCCTGAGCGAATTTCGTTGGCTTTTCCTGAACACTCTCATCCTGACTGTCTATCACTATTGTACAGTTTTCCTCATCCTCTGACAGCACAATTATACTGCTGTTGTTCTCCTTAGAAATCTCTACTGAAAGAAATAATAGCTTGATTATTCTAATTTTCAATCCATTTTGAATAAGACAGATACTTTGATAACTGATGTTGATTAGATTTTTTTCTTACACCACATAAAATTATACATTTATCTGAAAATGAAAAACAAAGTTGCATGAATTTTTCCCCTTTAGGCACCTGGCAGAATTGTCTCACATACAAATTTGTAATTAGTGTACACATAGAGATCACAAAGTATTCATACAATTTGAAAGCAGCAACATCTCAAAATAATATTCACTCTGAGACTTAATTTTCCCATAATTTCTCCATTATCAGCCATACATATGAGTAATATGGAATTATATTTCATAAAGTATGCTTCTGTTAAAAACTACAGGCAAACAAGTTCTACCTTCATAATCTTCATCAGAAGAAATGTCCTCATACAGGGGCACTCTGATTGGTTCTAGGTGGTACCTAAGTGGTGTAGAAAACTGCTGACTTTCCGGGGGAGGGGATTCTGGGCTATCCAGCACCACCTCCTTCTTGTGTTCATCCTCCGTCTTCACCTTCTCCGTCTTCCACCATCCACTGCTGGAATCTTCCTCCTCTAGATCTGGAAGATCGTCATCCGAGATGACCTCGTAGATTGGATGGTCATTTTCTGGCCTTGCTACACTGCAATGACCTCCTTCTAACTTCAGCACTTTTCTTGGTGGTTGGTTGTCCAGTTCCTCTTGTTTGATTATGGTACTGCATGATGAACCGCTAGTGGAAGGTTGGTTGAATTTACTTTTAAAGCTTTTAACAAATTTCTGTACAGCAGAATGTGACACATCATACAGAGGTTCTTTTTTCTTCTGGAAGTGTTCCTAAAAATGTTCAATTATGAATAATTACAACAAATGCAACAAGTCAAGTTTCCAAAAATAAGCTATCAAATTCAAAACAGTTGACATGAACAAAAATAACCCCAAGCAATATCAATTTAGAGCCAATTAGAAGACACCAACTTTTATATCCTTTTGGTAATAATCCTGACTTTTAAAAATATCAAAGATATTTGACATATATCTCTCATCCCCAGTGAACATATTACAGTAACTCCTCATTCTGTAAGTAAATCCAACACAGTATGCCACATTAGAAAGTCTCTAATCACTGCTTGTCCTGATCTTGAGTATTCTGCATTGCTTTGGCAATCCACCAGAGTGGATTTTAATTGGTTAACGAGTGATTTATTAAACTCCTATTATCTTCCCTTGTCCCCAGGGGGAGGGCAATTAGAAAGGAAAACAATAAACAGGAAATGAAGTCAATTCCCCCCATTAGTTGACACCAGGAGATTAACCAGCAATAGAGACAATTAACACACCAGATTACTCTAAACAGCCCAATAGGACAGTCTGATAAAGTAAGATCACAGGTTTCACAAAGCATCAGGTGAGAGATATATATACAGGTATCAGGTATATAAACAAGGTATTCCAGGTGAGTTTGGACTGTAATGTGGGTCACCTGGCTTTTTGACAGATTAACTGAAGAAATGCATGAGTTTATATACGTATAATACAATAATTTGTTACTATAGGACTTAATAGAATTCCCAGGAAGATTATGAGAAATGTAAATGAAGTGTATGGGTTTTTTTTTTTAATCTTTTATTGAAATGGATTTTTATTTGTAAATGATTGAGTAAACAAGTACTGTAATTAACTATTAATGTACATGTATTAATTACCTAAAGTATGAGTGTGTGTGTGTTTTTCTTTATTTCACGTACTGTAAAACTGCAAAATGTTATATCAAAACTTGTTCTCTCTCTCTCTATCTATATGAAAATATTAGTTTAAAATGTACATTTACATTACCATGATTACATTTACATTATTTTATCATGCTTTCTATAAAAAAAAAACTTCTTTTAAAAGGACAGGTATTTAAAGCTGAAATTTATAATATTTTTAGTCAAATACTATGGGAAATTAAATAAGGGAGTTCTTTCAGGTGCAAAATTTAGGAAGTGATTTATGATTGAATGGTTAGTATATACATAGCAAAAGGATGTATGGTCCAGACTATTCAAGCTGTATTATGGTAATTAAGGATAAAATAATGTCTAGTTTAGTTAAGAGTTATGAGCTTTTAATTAGTGGAGTCATGGGAGCTTCAAATTCTTCATAGAATTGAGTAAGATCAAGTAAGAGTCAGAGTGGGGTGATGTTTTTATAATATAAATTCTCCTCAGGTTGGAGTTTGTCTATATCCATTTCTAAGTAATATATCATTTTCCAAAGATTTTGTCATTTAAGTATTGCTACTTTAACGAGTTTAATAAAAAAAAAAAAAAATGAGCCACCTACTCAGGCATTTTTGCACAGTGCAGTGAAATAGTGTGTCTATATAATCTTATTCGAATTCAATCACTTAAATTGTCAATATCACAATATTTGGCATATTGATTTTTTTAGACAACTACAAAACAGAAATAACAGGGTTATGATGATTATGAATATTTTTTTATATATCACAAAAAGATACAAAACAAATTTTCAAGGAATCAATGGATCTGCTTTGAGATAATCATCTACTGAAGTTAAAATTTGTATTATTAAACTGGACATCAACCATCCCCGACCAAAGGGTCTCAAAGGACTTAATAAAAGGGATGAAAGGGAGATCTAAAGAACTATATGTAGCTGTGTTTGGAGAGGATCATTTTTAACTTTGGAAAGTTTGTCTCAGCATCATGGAGGAGAAAGACACTTAAAGGCTCAAGGTCAATGCACATCCTCTACCCACAGACACCCAGTGGGTGAAGTTTGAGCCAGACTGGGTCAAAGGAAAATATGCTCTGGGCAAGGAATTTAATTTTTCCACAGAAAGATTTTCTGACCTTGACCTTTGATCTAGAAAATTGGTTCAAGTTACCTGCTAACCCTCTACCCCCAGGGACTCTATCAGTATGAGGTCTATGACAGACTGGTGCCGAATGGAGACAGACTGATCACTGCAAGTCAATTGCAGAGCAGGGCTCTTCTGAGAAGTCAGGAATGCTTTACTAAGATCTAGGCAGTGCATAACTAGGATATATATTTGTACTATGCCTTCTCATTGTAAATAAATTAGTGCACTGTTTATCAAGCTTTGATTGGAGTGTGAATTACACTTTACAGTGATTTAATATCAATGGATGTATACCTACATATGGAGATTCTGATATATATGTAATGTATATTGAAATAACATTAATTTAACAAATTCAATGATTGTGGTCACCTTCCTGACAATTTTATGAAAGTTGTGTCTCTGAAAATACAAATTTGATAAAAATTCTATATGAAACTTTTAAAATTTACAGCAAAAATAAAATAAAATGTGACTAAGCATACTGATTACTTTTAAATCTGATGCGCATACATGTATCTCTGATCAAAACCTAATAGATAAAATAGGAGATGATCAAAGCCTGGGATGGTCGATGTGGCTTATTCTAGAGAAATCACTCTATAATCAAATATTTATAGTACTTTAAACAGTCAACTTGACATTCTGAAATGAATTGCCATTAATATATAACTCTGCCTGCATAAGCATTCTAGGTAGATGCTCTACACTACAAGATATTAAAGAAATAATCTATATTTCACATCAGCCCAATCATTGAAATAATATTAAACAAAGATTTTATACTTGAATGTACTTCTAAAAAATTCAGATGTTATAAAAAATTTCTTGATTTATTCTTACTAACCATCTTCAGAAACATCTAATAGACCATTTCCATTCAAATTATAACAAAGACAATTTTCCACTGCGAGCAAAACACTTCACATATTTCCTGGTGGTAGTAAATGTGTTGCGTCAAAATAAGGAAGTTTAGCTTCTTCTAACAGCATCATCACAAATGCATTTTTCCTCAAATGCAGTAAAAGGTTAATTGATTTGAATGGCTTTTGTTGGGTTGGAAGTATTTTCTAATTATAATGCAATATTTTTCCAATCTTTTCAATTCCAGAAAAGTCCATCTGTCTTCATCCCATCCCCATACCCAAACCCCTTAATAAAAAAGTTCATACTTTGAAATAAATTAAAGACATACACATATTTCTCATGAAAGAAGTTTGCTAATCTTTTGACTGGATATACAATTTCACTTTTCATGTATACAATCTGCTTTAATAGGGAATGACCATATGATTCGGGGGGGGGGGGGGGGGGGGGGGGGGGTTGTAGGTTGAATTTTGGAAATAATCTGTCTTCAAAAATGTTTAAAATAGTCCCCCCTCCCCCACAGGTTTTAACGTTACGTCTACTTTGAGATTTTTGGAAAAATGGGGGGGGGGGAGGTTGTAGGTTGAATTTTGGAAATAATCTGTCTTCAAAAATGTTTAAAATAGTCCCCCCTCCCCCACAGGTTTTAACGTTATGTCTACTTTGAGATTTTTGGGGAAAAAAAACAAAACAAAACAAAAAAACAACAACAACAACTTTGAAATACCAGTACATGTACCAAATTTTGAATGGCATTTATTGATTTTTGAAAGTATAAAATCATCATATCATTTTTAAAGAGTCAGTGAATATACCATAATTTTTTTTTTAAATCTTCAAATTTGATAGTATTAATCAGTTTAATAATGTGAAAACAGTGAATGTTGTATTAAAAATAATATTATTGTTATGGCAGAACAATACACATATCCTACATTGGATTTATGAAAGAATTTTAAATTACCAATTCCAGTTTCAACTTGCTGCTATGGTACTGTCATTTTATTTTTATCGAAGAACACATTTCTTTTATAAATTCAGCCAAGACAACCATGAATGACAAATATCTATTTTTATCAACACCTGTATTTAGTAAAGGGGATTTCCCAAATCAGAACTTGTAACTATCATTCTTGGATGATACTAATAGGACTTTTGTTTTTTGAATTGACCTGTTCAGAAAAAGGAAATATACATCCAGATTAATATGTAAAAAATATATACTCTTGATGACATATTTGTCATTTTCATTATGGAGCATGTTTCAATTCGCACTATAAAAACTAGAAAACAGAAGCCCAGAAGAAAAGTATGAGAATAAAGACCTAATTAATATGCTACATAATAAAATAAAGGTAGAGCACTTTCCTATATAGAATTTTTTGAAGGAAGATGCAAGTGATGCAATTTCACAAGATTTCACAGTAAATCATCTCTAACGATCCATACTAGTTTACTACCATTGCATGTAGTGGATCATTGATCGAACTGAGGTGTTTTCACAGTTCATTAACACTTTGAAGAAACATACCGGTACTTACACACATCCTTAATTAATGAGGAGGAATGACATGCTAAGAGAGCTGAAAAACCTCTGAATTAATTTAAATGTGAATCATATCAACAATCGGAAACCATGGCAACATTTTCTTAAACTTGAAACTTTGAGGGACATTTTGCTGTAATTTCACTAATAACAGACAGGAAAACACAAAATCATAACTAGATATGCAATGATAAATTACTAGTAAGCATGGTAAGATGATCTACACAACTGCTTAATCCAACCTAATATACAATTAGGGTATTGATTTAATGAAAGAAGGAAAAAAAAAACTTGTTGAGATCAGAAATTCTGAAAATACTGGTATTAAACTCCATCAAACTATGACATGATTATATTCATTTTATTTGTTTTGAGATTTTCTATGGCATCGATGGGAAAAATATGCATGTAGTGAAGTACCTTCAATTATCTAATACAAATAAAATCAAGAGAAGATAATTTTTTTAAGATTGCATCATCCTGATGAGTGATTCTGTCATTGAGGTACACATCCCTTACAAAGGCAAATAGTTGCAAGTGAAAGTAGAATCTTGAAAAGAACAAATTTTTCTTTTCTTTGTATTGAACTGTTGAAGTTATGTGCGATAAAGTGCTTAGATTACCGGTATGGTGCAGAGACTTTTTAAAATTAAATTTATAAAATTATGTCTGATAAAGTGCTTAGATTAGGGTGCAGTGACTTTTTTAAAAATTCAAATTATAAACAATGTGTCCTAGTTTCTACCAATGCTGTAGTTGACTAGTTCTGTGCACTGCCCAGTCATGAAAACATCTGCATGCCTCCACTTAAAAAAGAATGTGGACCATGTGTTCCAGCAAAGGTATCATTTGTCATTCAGCAGTTTATGTAAGTAAGACAGTGTTTCCCAAATGATGTACCATTAACCTGTTCCCAAACTTGATATATTTTCAGAGAAAAAAATCAGATTTTTTTTTAATGTTAAACAGGGATGATTTCCCCATATTTTTTTTTAAAGGGCACTGGTAAGGAGAGGGTGAATTCGATAAAATGTTCCAATCGTTCAAATGATGATGTCTTACGAACCCATGGCAGTTTAACGATTGTGGCAAGGGTCTGTCCAAAGATTATTCTAACTAGGGGTGAATATCTGCCGTCTACCAGGGTACCCCCCCCCCCAACAAAAATTTAAGGCTTAGGTCTTAACACTTCCTAATCTCCTTGACATTTCTACTCTACTTTTCATCAAGATGACCTTAGATTATCTAAAGGCTGTCCTAAATATGATTTGATGATAATCTCTTCTATCTTGCATAACCACAAGATCTGAATCCTGTCCTGGATTGAACTCAAGTGCTAGTTTATCAATTCATGTTCCTTTGACTACTCGGATTTCATTAATTCATTAAAATTGTTACTGGACATTTTTCTGAATTTGATTAAATTTATCTTATGTAAGTTCAAAAACCTACATGCATATATATAGAAGTGTGCAGTAAGCTTAACTGTTCTGTACACGAAGAAATCATGAAGGACGAATGATATGTTTGGTTTGAACATTTTTATCTATCAAGACTGCATATCTATTGTGCAGCAATAATCATTAATTCAGGCTAAATCATATGACGCAATATATAACTGCCCCCTTGTGTGAACTTGCTCTAGTTTGGGATTCACTATCTTCTGTGTGGCCTATTTTCTAGAGAGCTCTTCAAAGTTTTTGGGCCTAGAATAATATTTAGTGATAGTTTCCAGGTTTATTTTCACAAATAACTACTCTTTTTTGCAATTATTGGTGAGAAAATAATCGATGCACGTGTTCCATTCACGCTCTTTTTTCCAAGTTGAGGTCGAACAAGTTTGCACTGATTCATACTCAACCTAACACTATCCTCGCTCGGACGCCATTTTTAGCATCCTGTCTTTGACTTCTTACCTGCAGACTTAAGCGCCTAGCTAGTTCCAAGTCAGCTTCGAATTTTTCATCTTCACTCTCTTCATCATCGCTAATTACAACAACACTTTCCATTGAAAAATCCGCGTGCTAGTGTAGTCTTATCAACAAATCCGCCATCTTTGTTTTCAGCGATCAATGTCGTCACAAGTCTCGGGGTTTCCCAAGAAAACAACCAATCAAAATACGCCAAATAATTTGTTCCGTTTGAATAGGTCTGTGGCGGCATGGCGGGAAAATGGTGCAAGTTGCTGATTTTTTTTTCTTTCAAAGTCACAATATTTTTTTTTATGTGTGCATTTGTTTTTATGTAGTTTTATGTATAATTTTTGTAATGAAAATATAAAAACAATATTTTCAATCTGATTTTGAAGTTCATTTATCATTGTTTGTCATACATGTCCGTCACAGTTGTATCTACAACTAGAGCGAGCTCGTTGCAAAGCAACGAATAGGTCTTCCGTTGGAGCTGCGGAAGGAAGAAGTGACCTTGAGTCAAGGTCATGCCACATTCTAAAGTTATACATGTAAGCAATCTTGTAAGGGGAAGCAACTTACAATATTTCGCTAGGAAAAACTGTAAAGGAATGTACGTGACCTTGAACATTCCAAATGCCTTGCGTCAAACCATGACACACTCTCGTCATAAAACCCAATCTGTATGTTACCGACTTGAAAAGTTCACATTGACACGTCATGTTCTTTTAGTCCATACATACAGTCAAAACATCTTATCCTTAGTGACCTTGAACTTGAGTCAAGGCCATGTCACACTCTGCATGATACCAGCAATGTTTCAATAGTACAAATACGGTAGCGAAATTATAGTTTCTCTGTCAGTGACCTTGACTCGACCAAATGACCTTGCATCAAGGCCATAACACACACTGGTTAAAAGCAATCCCAGTCTGTGAGTTTCTGAATGGATAAGTTCAGCCATGTTTTTTCAGATCATACAGCGAGTCGGAATGATTTGTTAGGTTCAACATAATGATTAAAAAATTCATTGAGAATGTTTTAAGCCCAGTTTGGATAAGTAGTAAAACGTGGAGATCGGTCCTTTGGATGAGACCGTATAAGGTCTCGTGTCGGGGTAAGTGCTAGCGTGAAAAGGATCTTTCATGCTATAAATTTTGAATTTACCGGGTGGCAGTAAATACTGACAACTGGTAAGTTCAAAATTTACAACATGACAGATCCATGGCACTTGATTCTACCTCTGATTTCAAAAGATTTGCACTGTTCCTGATTTGTATTGTTTGAATGGTCTTTTAAGCTTGAATGTTGCACAGGTGCTTGTGGACAGGAACCCCCCCCCCCAATATACACCCCGGGGTCCAAGAATATTTTTATTCGTCTTTTTCCATAAATTAATATTCTAGTACACATTTACAATGTATTCCATATAAAAAATCCATAAAAATAACGTAGAATTAACGTTTTATTAAAAAATCATACCCGCGGTATTATGAAATAGAGAAGGTAAGTCACTTCCATTTGTTAACACTGGACCCCTCTTGGATATCGGGCCTAAAATATCATATACATGTACCTACCACATGTCACCAAAATATGTTATTATATCTTGTTTCATCGTCGCAAGCCACGGGTTTTGTGTCCATTCTATTTCCACAAACCCGTGGCTGCCTCCTTCTAATTTCTCTTGTTCTCATGAATATTAATAACATACATTCAACCAATGGAATAACATCTGACGCTTCAAGTCAGAACCAATGAAAATGATCAGTCTATCTTGTATTTGGATGAAACCATAACCACGAGCTGTACATCAACTTCGGTTCGAATTTCCTTTCTTAACGAGTAACGCTATTCAGCGTTCTCACACAACGTCTACATTCGAAACCCTGTATTTTAATGTAAAACCTTGTAAGTATTTTAGAATATACGTTACTCACATCTGTTCTTCAGGATCTATCGTATTTTTTTTTCAATAAATCTGCCACGCATAGCAAACATGATTTCATTATGGGCGCCGCCATTTAAGCGTACCAAAAATTGCTACAGAGTGATTTCATTGGTCAGGGTAAATCTGGCGTCACTTAATAATTATTCAATGATTCAGTCGCGAGAACGAGAGAATTTGGTAGGAGGCAGCCACGGGTTTGTGGAAATATAGAATGGACACAAAACCCGTGGCTTGCGACTATGATCTTGTTTCGGTAGATATTTTTGTCTTTAATCGTCCTATTTAAACGGAAGACCTTAAATAGTGCCTGTGGCTGTCACTATTTCGGTGTTTTTCAGAAACTTGATCGTAGAATTAGTCAAAGTCCACAACTGGACAATAAACTGATAAATCGGCTACAGTATATTATCTGTTCACAGAAACGACATATTGAAACTGGAAAAAAAATAATCCAGAAGCAATTCATTTCATTGAAATTCTATCATGAATATTTTGTTTTAATCGATGGACCCGATAAATCAACAAACTGACCGAAGGAAAAACGTTGCACGTGCCGTAACATTCTGTACGTTTTTTTTAATTTTACATTCTACTTGCATAATACATGCACATGTACATGTACATATATATTAAACAGAAACATAAATACCAAGCCCGTCGTCATTTTAAAAAAAAGTAATAAAACATAATTTGATTTGATCTATTTTATTTCATTTAAACTCTATTAATTTGTTTTAAAAGTATGATTGATCTTTAAATTTTCCTTTTAATATACACTCAGGGTAAAAAAAAAAGTATATATTGACTCGCGTAACTTTCATAGTTGTAGTTACATTTGAAAATGAAGAAATAATGAAATAATGAACGTTGAAGGGACTGGTGTGTTGTATGGCTAGACAACGCCTTGCACATGCAAAGAAATTTAGCACAGGTACTCTAGGACATGTGTGAAACCCCTAGGGCATGCCGTTTCCTGTTCTTGCTCTGCTAATCCCTATACACAGGAAATGATCGCGACTAATACTTAATACACAAAAAAACAGAATATATTCAAGTAAACTTGGAATTGATTTTTTTTTCTTGAGTATTATTGAGAATAATAAGTTTTAGTGATATACCCCCCCCCCCCCGTTTTAATTGTTTTGTGAAGTTCATCACCATGCACATTCCATCTTCTGTAATTGGAGAAATGTTTAAATTAAAAACAAACCACTGTTTACAAAAGAAGTAAATATGGAGGGAAAAAAATTGTTATATTTTATTGATATCTTTTATAACGTTCACGCGCCCACTCACTGCAAAGCTCACCATCGAATATTACAGCTTTCCGGTCATTCGACAATTTCAGGGAAATGCTTGCACATTAATACAGTAAAGTGAAATTATTTAAATGAATTATATTGTTCTAAATTTGGTTTGAAAAAAAAACATGAACGGTATATAGATATATTTTTATCCTCATAGGAATGCTGAAAACTGTTAATCGGAACTCGCACTGACTATTGTTTAGCACGTGTATGTAACATTGCAGTTCGCATATAATTTGAAAAGAGAAGTTATTAGAATTTATATTTCCGACATTAAAATTTGTCACGTTAAACTCTCAAATGACTCAGCTTATAAATAGTTTTCTTGATACTATTTTAAAAAAGATGTCGCTTTAGTATTGATATATAACTTAACAAAATTAATAATAATAAATAAAAAAAAAATTAAAAAAAAAAACAAAACAAAAAAAAAAAGATTAAATATATTCTGCTTTACAATTTTTTGTTCATTCATTATTTTCACCTTTTGCGAAATACAAGAAAATACTTTCATAAATATACATACACTGCGGGATTTTAATTTGTTTTTTTAAAAGAGGGAATTTCGCAAAATTCCTGTTCGGGGGGGATAACTCCCGTTTGTTTACGATACTACTTGATCGATGATTTAACCGCGGCGGGGACAGGTAGGTGATGAATTTCCCGCGGAGGGAACGCGGTTAACCTGTCTCACCTGGCCAAATCCCGCGTTGTGTTTATACCGCGACGGGACGCGGGAAATACGGGATCCGCGTTGTCTGTACTGTACATGTATAGTCAATCAGATTAGAAATACAGCGACTATCAGAATTTCGGGCCGTAAAAAAGATCTGATTTTGATTAGATTTCAGGTGTAGGCGAATGTGTGTGTACTGAGGGGTTAGTTAATTCATTCAAGATTTATTATATTGTTCGTTTGGACGAAGGCTTCATAAAAATATACACACTGCTTGTACAGGTACACATCAATGAATGTTCAGATTAATTCAAAAATCGGCGGACATTAATTTATTTCAGTTATCTAAAGGCAATGTTATTTCCAGAGACATTTATATTTTCTGTTTTTTGTCTCGGATTTTTCTTTTTTGTGATTTACCGGTTTACAAAGGCCTGTGATTTAACAGCTGTTCATAAACGCTGTCAATTAATATATATTCAGAGAAAACGAGACATCTCCCGGTAATTCATTTCTTATGGAAAATATATGGATTGACATCTTAGTATTTACCTGTGTAATTACGATGTTACAAACCGTGACGATGACTGGCCAGAAGGACTACCCGTTATGAAAACAACTCATGATCAACTCAGCGGACCTATAATTGACTTTAATATATGCTGTAAATCAATAAAATCATTTCAGTTTAACCGATATTTTATTGCAAAGATAATGGGGAAAAAAAGACTTGGGATTTAGAATTTTTCTGAATTTCAAACGCTCGATATGCATAAATTTGTGCGCTCTTGCATATATGCACTTATAAAACGTGCATGTTCTGTACTTGCATGCGTGTACATTGTATGTATCCGTAAAACCTTAAGAGAGCTGATAAATGTGTTCTGATTTTCAGAAAAAATAATGGGAACCTATAAATAATTACATGTTTATCATTTTGTTCGCATACAATAACAAGTTTAGTAGAAAAAAATAATTTGTTCAAGGTTAGGTGTCTAATAAATTTGTAATATTCAAATACAGTTACGCATGTATGTCTCATTCTACATATTTTGGAGGCGCGTGTGAATGTGGGATTTTGCATTTCCATACGCTCGATATGCATAGATTTGGGGCGCTTTGTATATATACAGTTGTACATTTTAAGGGCGTCGACAAAAGAACGTATATTAGATTACATACATGTACATTTAAGTTTCAAAAGTTCCA